GCGAATCAAGATAGCCGCGATGTGAGCAACCCAGTAATCCAAGATCCAGCCCCCCACCAAGCTCAAAACCGATTACTTGCGCGCATCCCCGGCTCGCCGGAATTAGAAGTCCCTTGCGTCTGGAACAGCAGCAACCCAGCGCAGCCCAGCTTCCGCCTTCAAAAGTTCCGCGAATATCAGCCTCTGACTAAGGTAGGTAGGTACTCGTACCGGGCGACGTGGAGGAATTGAGACAGAAGTGCCATGCTTGCCCACACCGGATCTGTGTGTCTCCAAAGGTCAGCAAGTCTACCCACGCACGAAGTAGTGTGTATTGCATGCCTCACGAGCATTGGACAACGACCCACACAAACCAGGTGGAAGTGCCTGCATAGAATGGAGGCACGGGTACTATGTCACCCTTTCGACGACTCCTTTCAAGACTCGGATCTCCCATTTTGGCACACCGAGGCCCGCCACCCGGCCGGCCGGGCACAGGACCTCGAAAGCCGCGGACGCCTATGCATATCCGCCTGGCACTTTTTTGTTCCTTCCATCAATTCGTACCGCCTGGTCGGCTGGTTCGCATCATCCTCCCAAAACCATGGAACAGCATCCCACTCAAGCCGGGATTCCCTTTGCCTCTCTTGGGTAAAGTCGCTCACTCTGTTTCTCTCACCGGTCACCGGCGGCGGCATGTCAAAATCTAGGCAATTCTGCAGCCCCCAAAATAGGAATCCTGCAACTAAGGTGAGGCAGGTCGCGAGCGAAGAGAATCCTAGATATGCACCATTTCCAAGTTTTCGAGTACGGCGTAGTCTTCCGCGCTTGACAATCGTCCCACGGCACGGCAACCATCAAACAAGCGACACCCCACCCCTTATACGCGTCCTTACCTTACTACCTTGAGATATGTCACGATGAGCCGAATATCTCGGTCGCAGGATCAAAAAGAACCTCACAGCAGCTGCCTGCCGTTCCGTCCGCATCCGCGACCCGCGACCCCTCACCCCGGCACCCTAGCCCGGCTGAAGCAAAGGATCACGCGAGTACGGACAACCCTCGGAGAAGAGAGCCAAGCGTTGATTCTGCCCTGTAGGATCTGTTGTTTTGCGGTTCCCGCCGCAATTGCACATCAATATATCGCTTCTCATCACATTAAGGAGCTGTCTACTGGTGCTGCTAGTCTAATTCGTGTCTAGTCACCCGTACGTTCTGTTTGCATGCTTGCATGCTTGCATGAAGATCGTTTGCCTCGAATCCTTCTGCGACCTACCTACCTCTCTACGGACAAGGTACCATGCCCAAACAAGATTGCATCCGCCATCGGTACGGATACTTGAGGCCGCATCCTGGCCCGGGCGAGTCCTCGGCCGCGGTACGAACCCCACCCCTCGGGACACCCCTTGCCCGACGCCAAACTTCCTTCCTTCAGGACCTCCCGAAGCCGATATCTCGATTTCAACAAATCCTTCCTGCGATGCACGGTATCTTTCGTTTCCTCGGCACGCCGTTGGTCGTCATAAATCGCAAATATGCCGAGAATCCTGCCGCACGTTCCCCCCTCTACTTTCCAACCACCGAATGAAGATTGAGAAGGAAGTTCAAACCATGTCTAAGGTAGGCAACGAGGAATGAATCGCAAACATCACGAAATCAAAGTATGCGTGTTCCGTAGTCCCACGATTTTCAGGTGAGGAGGCATCCCATTTACCGGGGTACCCTCTTTCAAATGGAGCCAAGTTCAGATGAGAAGTTGCTTCTTCAGACGAACAGGACAGGGATCCCCTTGGCGTTTGGGCAGAAAATACGACCCAATGTCGTTTCTTTTCCCCCTGTTGATCGAGTCTTCTTTGTCTAAATTTGAATTTATGGAAATCTTTGGACGATCTGCACAGCGGGCAGCTGTCATGTCTGATGTCTCAAACCCACTACCACCCTACGTATGCCGTACTGACTACTGCGCCCAGGTCTTGAGATTCAAACGATAAGGCGTGTCTTTAGACAGTTGCGTACGGATCGAATTGATGCCTGGAAAGCAATTCCCTTGAGTCCATACTTCCAACAACAAATACGTCGAGCTTGTACTTCGTAAGAAGTACACGAGAGTCGAATGCAAGGACAGAGCCAAGGCGGTGTGACAGGGGGTATGGAGAGGTACCTCCATTTGGGTGACCTCATCTCAACACCTCACATCTGGGAAATCTCGCATCTCACCAATTGTGAACCATGCGCTGCGCTGCAACCACCAGAAACAAGACTCAAAGCCCTAGCGTTAAGCCCGTCTAGATTGACCAGATACTTCACACCGCGACACACACACCTGCACGAATCCAAAGCGCTTGCGCTTATGCATCCACAGGTATGTGCGTGTCTACGGCACGTGTCGAGTCTGTCCCCCCTCCGCTTGCGCCTCCCCGCGCCTGTCGTCTAAGCAATCTCATGAGAATCTTACTCGACCCTCCTTTATGGGTTGTCTAGGTGTATGGTTCCATCCACTCAACTCTCACTCGTCACCCTCCAAACCCACCTACCCACCCACACTTACACACTTACATACACAGACGTGCATACACAGGCACAAGTGCGAGCATCACATCACCACCCACACATCATCCCCCTCGCCCCTCCCCAAGCCTGCGCATTCTTCACCGCAGACAATTTTTGGCATCTTACTGTACCACCCACCACCTCATGCCTCACACCAAGCGCGGTAGCGGCAAGCGGCAAGCGGCAAACCCCACCACTAAGCACTCACTTCATCCCTCCCTCACTTGTATCATGTATGCTTACCGTCGCATTTTCTCCCAAGACACGGTCCAAAAAAGAAACACATGCAGCCCACACACACTTACAGTCACTCATATAGGTACGCTACCTTACACTCACCAAGAGAAAGAAGCCGCGAAAAAGTCCCAAAAAGACATGCGTAATCTATCAAGACATTGAATTCATATCCCCAACTTCGGGATGATAATCCCATGTGCCCCCCATGTCCGTAAGATGTTCATTTTTAGACCCCACAACACACACTTCCGTGACCCGTCACCTCACTCATGCTAACTTCCTAGATAGATCCCCCCACAAAAACCCACGCCGGCTCACCTGTCACACCAGCAACCCACTCAATTGCGGCTATTCCCCAACAAGCGCGGAACTTCGCTTATTTCCACGCCTCACGCCCATGTCCATGCCCTTGGCACCCACCCACCCTGGCCCATCTGCCGCGACGGGCGCCGCGCGCGCGCAAGCTCGCTTGTTGGGCTTGCTCATCAATCGTCCATTTCCCCACTCCCCACCACCCGTTCGTTGCGGTTCGTCTGTTTAATTCAATTCTCCCCCTTCCGTCTGTCTGTCTGTCTGTCTCTCTCCGCACGTCTAAAAATAAATCTATCCTTAGAACGGAACCTCCCACGCGTTTGCTCTGTTTCTTTCTGTTGCTCCAGTCTTGGACCGGCAAATCACTCCCCATGCCCGTGTTACCCGACTTTCCCGTTCCCGTTTTCCCATGCCCTTCCTATCGGGACCATACCTACAGACATGCTCTCCCAGGGAAACCCCACCATCCGCATCTAGGTACCCAGGTACGGTCCCGGATAGGTTCCATTCTATCTCAACTCACACGCCCTTCTTGACGCAAGGCTTTCTTTCTAGGTACCCGTCAATTCCAAGGGAGGGTTTCACCATCCTCGTACTCTGTAATCCATATCCGTTCACCTCACGGTAGCCCATGAACAGATCTGACAAACGTCCAACCTATACCTACATACGTCTCTTGCACTCCATTTTCCCCATTAGGACAACTGAACACAATACCCCCCCTCCGCTCCCGCTCAACACTGCATCAACCCATCTCACCGGGAGTCTTTCCCACTCATCAACCCACCACAACTTCACCACTGTCTCAGACTCTGTTTCTTTTTTCTCCAGTCCCGGCGTGTGGGAATCGCAACTACACAGTACCCATTTGCATCCCCCCTTGTCCACCATACCCATGTCCTTCCCGTAATGTTTTCACGTTTTCCTAAACACCCCCCACCACTACCACCACCCAAAATTCCCATGAAGCCATGGAGCCATGCAAAGGCCTCCCGCGGCACTCCATTCTCCTCCGTGCGTCCGGGAAAGAAAGCAGCCCCCCCCCCCCCCCAAAATCCCGTCAGCACCTTGAACCACCACCACGCAAATGAACCCAACTCTTTGCATCCCCCGTATCTCATCCTACCCATTAACCTTACGCATACCCCCCTCTTACCTCCTTCAGCATCGCACACCCCCCTATCGCGAGGCTGAGTCTCGGCATCCAAACGAGGCTGGTCATGGCCCCCAACCTCCGTTCAGCCAATGGCGTGTAAGAGACGGGCAGCGCGCCAAACGGCCCTCCCCTAAGGATACTGAGTGCTGATGCCTGCCTGTTCCTTCGCCCGCCCGCCAGCCCATACCTACCATACCTACCGCACATACCGAGGAGGGAGCAGCCGACACGGCCGAGGGAAATCCTCCTCAAAATAAAGTCCCCCACGGTAAGAGTAGGGTACTGTATGACATGACCTTCTTGTACCCGAGCATTTCCCTTGGTGAAGAATCCTGTCGAATTCATTCGTCTTCTTTTATTTGTCTGTGGAATACATCCACCTAGGTACTCGTCGAAAGATGATTCCCGTTTCAGTAAAGTGCAAAGCAACACGCAAACGTCCGCAAATACTTTCTCTCTCTCTCTCTCTCTCTCTCACACACACAGGTTGCAACGTCGCTAACCCACTTTCCCATGGCGCCTCTCATTGGGGCCTTTTCTGGGGTAACATGGCCTCGAGCTACCTTACGAGTTACACTGCGGGAAGCCATTATTTGCCACCTCCGATATCATTGCTAACCGTTGCGCGTCACTTTCAATGGAGAAGGGAGAAGGTGTCCATAAATTTGATCTGTTGGAATTTCTTTCCAAAATGTCTATAATGTGTTCTCTCTAATACATGATTCTCTGGGCCAGACCAAGCAAGCTTGTGCATGACCTCCAATTGCAAACCAGCTCAATTCCTGCAGGGTAAATTGCCATACTGTGTTTTTTTTTTTACCAACTCGGAAGTTCCAGACAGCCGTGTGTGGTTGGCAATACAAGAAGGTTCCCTGTGTGAGAAATGCTAATGGTCGAGTCTCGAAGAAACGAATATGATGTCTGGCATCATTTCATGTTTTGAGATTTCAGGCGTCGTGGCGCTCTTTCTCCTCGTTGCGGGCATACCAGTTGCCCATTCGTGTATGTCCTCTGCTGTTGACACCCCGTTGTTTCTGTTTTCCCCGTTGCTCTCAGAGCAACTCGTCTATCATCGGATGATGGTACAGATCAATGTGAGAGAAGAAAGCAAGAGAGAGAGATCTTGGCAGAAAAATAGAAGAAGAGTAAGTAGAGAGATTGAGAGAGAAAGAAACAACTCTGATATGCAACATTGGAAAGCAGAAAAACGGAAAAAAATGAAATGCAACAACAAAAAACCTCGCTCACCCCGAGTATACCATCAACCATCGCATGCGCAACGATGCGCGCTTGTATCTTTCCGAAACCTGAACGCCTGGTATCCTCCCGCCCGCTCGCCAACCCAATGCATCGAAATTTGTCCGTAAACCACACAAGTTGAAAATGAGACCGTTGCCGAATGCCTGTAGAATCGAATCTCCCCGCCGCCGACTTTGAAAACAAGTCCCTCTCTTGAAACCCAAAGTGTAAACCCAAAATGATGCCCCGTGAGGCAGAGAAGATGAGATCCAGCCCATTAGAAGTTAGGCATCTCTTGTATGCATGTGTTCATCCCAACCGCCCAATGCAGAAAAAAAAACCCAAAACCAACGCTATGCAAGCTCAATGCCGAAAGGGAAGGGAACCACATCTATCGAAAAGAAGGGGGGGACATCGAAATGGGAAAAGAAAAGAAAAAACCGTTGGAAAGAATTGAATGTCGAGAAGATTTCGAAGTTCGAGCGAGACCGGGGGGCGGGGGGCGGGGGGCTTGGTGGAAGATGTCGTTTAATTGTAGCGCGCTGATGATGACAATTGATAGGCCGTGAAATGTTTCCGTCATGTTCGTGATCTCGTCTCTGTCTTCGATAACTTCGTTGCTGAACTTCATGGCAAGGCGTAATGGCGGATAGTAGTTGGTTGATGTTGGTCGGAAAATGACCAGAGTGGAGGGATCCGTATAAGCCATTGGCCGGAGAGTCATCGCACGGCGGGAGGCGCCGATGAAGACATCAAACGGTCATGGCCGACGAAGAGGAGAGATAGCTGCGAGGGTGGCAGCGTTTGAGAAGCCGACCTTCCTCTAAAGGAGTACAGGTAGGCAACCCAAGTGCGGAATTTAAAAAGCAGCAGCTTGGGGGAATGCCAGGAACAGCAACCCATCACCGAAGACAAGACATTTCACCGGTACTGGCGGGAGCTCCTGCTTGAATTGCTAGAGTGATAGCCAGAGTCGGAGTATGTGTATTGTGATGCGTGTCCGCCATGTGAGGAAGAGTGGGCATGGCAGGCGTATCCGACCAAAATCGTTCTCTTTTGGATGCTGTGTCCTGGTCTGCCGTATGAAGCGCATCTGTCAATGGCGTGCTGGTAGTAGAGGCAGCGACAAGCTGAGTAGAGCTCGACAATTTGATAGCACATTGTGGATATTGTTCCGAAGTACGTTGAGTGACTGAAGTGGTTGATAATGTGAAAGACCGAGGAATTGATCCTTGAGATATGAGTTGGGAGTGTGGATGACTTTATCTCTCGAGGAAGTGTGTGTTGCTGGTTGTTTGGTTGGGGGGTATCGAGATGACTGATCAGAGAGACTGAAAGCTGCCAGGTATGCAGAGAAGCAAGGGGAACAAGGCAGAAATAGGAAATAGGAAAGGGAACCCAAGTGAGTGTGTTCGTGATGACTTATACTGGAGTAGACTAGGGATGGGGAAATGGAAAGGAGCGAAGGCATCACGACCTTATAGGCCTGGCAGCCTGGGAGGTCGTCACACGGATAGGCAATTGGTAGAGAACCGTCTAAGGCAGCAGTGGGACCTCTGGCAGTCGACGGTGGATGTCATCTGAGTGAGACCAATGACTAAGGCTGCAACTTGTGCATTAGACCGGTATGCAGACCAAGACCAGGGAAAGGTGCCTTGCACCTTTTCCATCATGGCCTGGTAAGGCGCAGCAGCAGGTAAAAAGGTGTGAGAAGAGAAAGAGTGAGTGCGAGAAGAGCGAAGAGGTGAGCAGGCGGAGAGGGAGGGGTGAGCGGTGGAAAACGGGCTGGGGTGGAGGGGGGGGTGAGAGTGGTGGTGGGTGTGTGTACTTTGAGCGGACTAGACAGGGCACCTCAACGAGAGCCAGGTGAGGTACTGACTACGGATACCTTACTGTGTATTCGTAGATGTAGGTGTGCGCAAGTGGAGGGGGGGCTGGCTGCGATGGAGACTGGCGATGGGAGCCCTGAGGTAAGGGTGAACGGGGGGTCGGTCAAAAGAGTCATCTTCAGCATCCTTTCCAATCGAAACATCTCTCAAAATGGACACTGCCGACCTGTCCCCATACTTTGGGTTGATGAGGTGCAGCAGGGCTGATGCGCGATGGGATGGAATGGGACAGGCATGGGTGGATGGTTGTACGAAAAGGAAAAGAATCGAAGAATCCCAATTGGCTCCGTGCGATTGCTGTACTCTGGAAGACGATATGGAATTGCAGTCGTGTTGCATGGTTGGTGAGCCATCTCTGTCTCTCCCCTTGTCTGGAAACACAGATGCGCATCGCCGCATGTCGCATGTCGTGTGCTGCCGGCTGCTGCAGTACAAGCACTGCTGCCAGGTACCTACTCACCTCACCCCGAGGTAAGGTAAAGTAGCTTCGCTTCTTTGCTGACGATGATGCTGCTTGTCCCATCCAGCCATGACTGCCGCTGCCGCCTCGTGCTGTGATCGCGCTTAATGGGCGAAATAGAGACCCCCAATTGTCTATTATCGGCTGGTGGCACTGACTTCGACATCAGCACCAGCACCAGCTCTAGGCAGGGCATGGCACGAACGGCCCCAAGATAGCTCCATTGTCTTGGACCGCAGGGCTGACTCTGTGTCGCTGCACCGAGGAAGCCCGGGTTCTTTACGCCTAGCCGTTTGTGATGCGACGATGGTCCTGTGTTGCCCGGTGCCGCCGCCACGCAAATTCCTTCCATGAGGAGCAATAAGGTGTGGTGGTGCAGTGCTCTCCGTTGACCGATGTCCTTTCCGAGGTTCCTAATCGATCAGGAGTGAACTCGATCTCGAATTACCGTCTGTATTTCGATTCTCGATTGCTCCTCTGCCATGCCCGCTAACGGGGGATAGGCACCACTCGGTCGGAGCTTGGCCTCTTAGCGTACGGCTGCCATTGCTAAAAGAAGAACATGCCGATCAGAGGTTCGCGAGCTGCCCCATAGAATCTGTCCTCCAAGTATGCACGCATTGGTGACCGCAAAGCCCTGCCGACTGACAGAAAGTGCATTTGCTGTGTACGACGAGACTTGGCCTCAAATTTCGCCGGCATGTCATCAAGATTGATCCGAGGTCTAGTGTTGATCTGTCGCCCGATGGCTTCGATTGCGCTCTGAGGCCCGCCATGTTCATCGTCGAAAGTAAGCAGGGGGGGGGGGGGGGGGAAGTCCTTCTGGCACGATGCAGTGTAGTTGGTCGCAGCGCGACAGACCAGGGACTTGATCCACGCGTCAGGTACCGATGGACGTCGTACAAATCTTTTGCTGTGATGGGCTGGCATGCGAGCGACCGGTTCGGATCTCCATCGTGGTGAAGGAGGTCACCCTGGTACTCAGAGCGTCCAAGCTAAATCCTGAGTGGACAATAACCGCAGCCTGCCTTGAGGTACGAAGTAGGCCCAGGGTCAACGCATGGAGCAGACCGAAATGGAAGCAGTTGTCTCCATCCAATTGCCGAATATAGCTTGACCATAATAGGTGCAAATGGCGACCTACTTTGCACAAGTACCTTGTGTTGATAGAGGTCGGCATAGATGACACTCGTGCTGACTGCCAGGAAAGAATAGCCATGCATCGAGGTAAGGTGAGATGCCGTTATTATCGACCAAGTAACTCGACGCCCAAGCTAGGCGATCGTATACAACTGTTCGTCGTGCTATTATACCGGGATCAGGCTGTGCAATGGTGTATGCAGGCCATCCATCAGAGGTTCCACCGTACTCTGGTGGCTGTTTTGGTAGTGCCTATTGGCCACAGTACGTTCCGAATTGGTATTGGTGCTGACCATGGCCGGGAGCTTCTGCATGCGAAGGTTCCATGCTCTTCCCAGTTATCGGGAGGATGGTCAGATCAAACGCGCTTAGCATCATGCCGTCATTGGAGGCCATGTCGAGATCAGACCCGGGCACCTGGTGAGAGAGACTCGGGCGGCCTTCTTGGATCGCAGGGTCCCTGGTGATGGCTGAAAATGAGATGCGATGTGATGCCAGGGGCAGCGGATCCCAGTTCTCCAAGATGCATGGGCGAGGGAGCTTGGATGATATGAACGTCAACGTGGCCGGGTCGCGGTGAGCATCTCCCAGTCCCGCAGAGCAGAGGGGGTGAAAGCCTGAAATCTACCGGTAGTGTTGACCATCCATGGATGTCTTGGATGCAACGGCTTCCGTCAATCCCCGTACACCGGCCAATGCAAGTCTCAAGGGAGACGAGCTGCCATTCGACCGATGCAAAGGCATGTTTGAGACTTTGATCGACGGGTCCTTCCCTCCAAGTCCAAGGCTCCGGTATTGGCCCGTGAACCTGTCAACGCACGGCTGGTGAGAAGACGGCGAGGGATTGCAGACAATCCTTTTGGTTCATCGCCTTGGCCGTCGGAAGACAGGTAGGTTTGCTGGTTTCAAGTTCTGCAAGGCTGGTAGGTGGAGGGCAGCACAACGGTCACCAACACCATCGGCCTCCCTATGCATCATTTCGCCGAGTCCTTCTGGATTTTCGAAAGGGGTCATCGGTGTGCAAGTAGAGTGGCTGCAGGTACTTGCCAGTGGACGGTTGATATCCGTAGATGTGTGTAGGAGGTATCAGACTAGGGCAGATTGAGGGAGCCCGCAACGGCGTTGACGAACAGTTGACGATAGCAATGCAGCTAGAGCTCAGAAACTTGCATGAGGGCTGTCGGTCAACGCAGGCACCAGGACGCAGGTCAGCGGACGGATTTGGCGTCATGCCATGTGTGTGTATCCTTAGATACGTGGTGGTGTTGTCCGTGGTCGTTGAGACGAAAGCAGAGCAAGCCGATGGGAGTGAGATCATAGAACAAGACAAAATCTAGGACTCTATAGAGAGAGAGAGAGAGAGAGGCCCATGGACTGCTGCTGCCCTGGGTTGCTGCATGGGACATGCCTGAGTCCGAACTCCAGGGTCGAGGAAGGATGGATCGTGGTCCAGTGTCCATGGGTGGATGGTGGATGGGACAGGAAAGAAAGAACACCGGTACGAATACCTGCCATACCTTATGGAAATACGTACACAGTAGTGGTAAGGAATGGAAACGGGCAAGAGGGGTGAGGGTGTGCTGCCTGGGATGCCTGGGCGAGCGACGATGCAATAAGAAGGAACATGGGGATGCAGGTTTGCCAAGAAGGGCAAGTTCGTGTGCTTGATTATGAAAGCTTGCGCCCGCCAAGCCATTCCAATTGGCCCATTTAGCTGGTGCGGGCAGGCAATGGCAGGCATGGCCCTCACGTGCTCGTCTCCACTGCCCTC